TAGAAGGTGCTCATCAAAAACCCACTTACCTGAGCCTCCAGAAGCCCAGGATTTCCACCCTGGCGTTGCCACTTTCTTTCAATAGTCACAGAGCATAAATGTCTGTAATAATGTATGCAATGAATAGTTTCAGCTGCTCATACCAACTAAACGTGGCTTTCATAGTAAGGACATTTCAGATCTAATTTGCCAAAGTGTTCTAAGGTAGGAGGTTCCAGGGTTGGGGCAGCAACTCAACAATGTCATAAAGGCCCCTGACTCTTCCATCTTTCCACTCGGACATCTTCCACATGCTGACTTTTCCAATGAGCTCTGCCCTCGTGTCACAAGATGACTGCCACAGCTCCAAGCATTGCCTCTCTCCATGTCAAATGTCCAACATCTCTTTCCATTTTCCTGTCTTTATCAGAGGGGAAACTCTTTCCCAGAAACCTCTGGCACACTCCCGCTCTAGTCCTGTTGCTCAAGATTGGGTCACATGTTCATGGCCAGCTGGTACGCAAGGTTGGGAGATGAGTACTTTACATTTTCAATTTCTGTAGTGGGAGAAAAGAGCTGGGAATTACTATTAGGTAGGCAACCAAACAACCACTGCAAGTAACAACAATGAGAAAAAAAAGTAATCATAGCAGCTAATATCAATTGAGTCATTAGTACGTGTCAGGCACTGTTTAAAGGGATCAACATGCATTACTTTGGTTCATCCCAACCACACTACCACGAGATTGTATTATTGCTGCCCCCATTTTATAGGCAGGGAAATTGAGGCTCAGAGAGGTTAGAAAACGCCATCATCACAATCAGAAAGCCCACCCTTGGCTTTTTGGAGAGCAAGTTCAACGAGATAGTACTCGATTTCCAAAGACAGTTCAGAGGAAGGTCCAGGCGGGGGAAATAAATCACTGTAATGTGGTGAGGTAAGTGCTAATCCATGTGTAACAGGGTGTGAGTAGGCAAGAAACTGTCTGGCATCATCATCCCTCGCCCCCTTCCCAAGGCAAACCAGACAACAATTTGTTCCTAATGAAATCTCCCAGGGAGGAAGGGAACAGAAGTGCTGGCGTGTGTGTGGACGGAGGGGGGTGGGGGGGGTGCGGGGGGTGTAGATGGAAGAAGCAGAGAGCCTCAGGAGGGGGAGAGTTCCCCAAACCTGGGGGAGGGGGTGGAGGCATTTGGGGGTTGCGTGACAATGCCGTGCTGCCTTGCCGTGTGTGGGGAGGTGACAGGACCCCAGTGGGACTGCATGATGTGAGAAGGGGTGGTGCCCAAGCTGGGAAGGAGCAGTGAGGACAACTACCCTCCTTCTGGGGGCAGGCAGAATCAGACAATAGCCACTCAATGGTGCCTTTTGCAGATCAGAGCCCAGAGGACTCTCCATAAGCATTTGCCCTGTATATGACACCTCTACCCTCGTGTCACCCTGGAAACAGGGAGAGACTCCAGCAACCACTGAGAGTCATCTGTTATACACTGGAGCATGAGGGCTTGGCATTGGTCTTAGTTTTATTTGGAACAACAAATTCCTATGGCATTTCGTACATCCAGAGAGAAAGCCAGCCTGATGTTACAGCCGCATGCACAGATAGGTAGAAATGCAGAGAAAGGAATCATTGACACTGTCATAAGGAGAAAGAATCCAGGTAAGTCTCCACAGATGAGGTGCAGCTTAAGCAGGGTCCTGAAGGCTGAATAGGAGTTCACCAGGGGGACAAGAGAGAGAAAAGGTCTATGCAAAGGCAAAGAAGTATGAAAGACTTGCTCCCTCTTAAAACTGTGAGTATTCTGAACATTGGGTAATGGCACAGAGGTCAGGAAATGGGGCTGGTAAAGAGGACACTGGGTTATTATCTGAGTTTCAAGACCACGGGTAGGTGAAACTCTTTAAAATTAGTCTGAATGAGGGCGCCTGGGTGGCTCAGTTGGTTGGGTGACTGCCTTCAGCTCAGGTCATGATCCCGGAGTCCCTGGATCGAGTCCCGCATCGGGCTCCCTGCTCGGCGGGGGGTCTGCTTCTCCCTCTGACCCTCCTCCCTCTCATGCTGTCTCTCATTCTCTCTTTCAAATAAATAAATAAAAATCTTTAAAAAAAAAATGTAACTCCAATATATACATCAAATATAATAGGGATCAATTTTTCCCAGACTGCAATTGTCTTATTAAATGCAGGAAGTATGATTTTACTAATAAATTAAATTAAGCCTGACCCTGTGTGCCCAGTGACAGGCTAGCAAGAAAGCTACTCTCTGTCATAACTGGAGAGCCTTCTTCCGTCCAGAGTCATGTGAAAATTTAAGGTCTGATCCAGTCCAGATGGTTGAGGAAGGCTTTGATTTTCATCCACACAGGTGACAACTTTCAGAATGCCCACTGCCCTCTGCTGTCATCCCGACGCTGGCCCCCTGATGCAGGACACAGGATTCTTTCCCTGGTCCAGCTTCCCTGGGGACACCAGACAGCCATTACCCTCTCAGCTGGGCACGAACCCCAGCTACTCCCTAGGAACCTCCAAGTAGTCCTGGTCCTAGAGTGGGGAGTCGGCCCAGCTCAGTCCACATCTGGGGACCTTAATCTCCCCAGGCTCTCTCAGGTTAAAGTTCAAGTGCCTTAACCAGGTCTAAACGAGTGTTCTCCTAACTGAAGGTCTTGGCCCATCAATGGCTTACAAAATCAATGCGGTGTGGACCATGCTTTAATTACTATATTTATTATTTATTATTATTTAAGACTTGAAGGGTGAAATGAGTCACTTTTTAAAATTTAGTTAATTGTGTATTAGTTTGTTTTGGTCATGCGCACATTTATTTTTATCAACCACCTAACATCTTTTCGATGTTTTTTGCCAAGCATCTGGTTGGGGACACGTTCAAACATACCAAAGGGTTGTAAGAATTGTATAATGAATACCCATATTCCCACCATCCAGATTCTACCATTAATATATATTTTTAATTTTTTTAGATTAAGGTATAATTTACATACAGTGAGATTCACGCATTTTAGAGTACACTTCTATGAATTTTGATAAATACAGCTGAGTAGGCACCACCCCAATCATGATACAGAATGGTTCCTTTAATCCAAAAAATTCTCCCCTGCCCATTTCCAGTGACCCTTCTTCCCACCCCTGGCCCAGGCAACCACTGTTTTCTCTCCCTGAAGCTTGTCATAGAAAGAGAGTTATACGGTATGTACCATTTTGAGTCTGGCTTCTTTCATAACGCATAGTGCATTGGAGATTTTTCCATAGTGTTGTGCGTATCAGAGGATTTTTCCTTTTTACTGCTGAGCAGTAGTCCATCGTGTGGATGTACCAAGGTTTGGTTATCCATTCACCACCAGCTGGGGTACATTTGGGTTGTTTCTATTTTCTTGGCAATTATAAATAGAGTCACTGTATGGAAACATTTGCAGACAGGTTTTTCTGTAAATGTGTTTTCATTCTCTAGAGTAAATACCCAGGAGTAGGACAGTAGGTTGTATGGTAAAATATGTTTTACTTTATAAGAAACTGCCAAGCTACTTTCCAAATGACCCTGTCATTTTGCATTCCCACCAGCAATGTATGAGGGTTCCAGTTGTTTCGACTCTCATAATCACTTGGTATTGTCGGTACACTGAAAAAATTTGAGCCATTCTAATGTGTGATGAGGTATCTCATTGTGGTTTTAACTTGTAATTCCCAGATGACTAATAATGTTGACCATCTTTTCAGGTACTCATCTGCCACATGTCTATATTTATTGGTGAAATGCCTGTTCAAGTCTTTTGCCCATTTAAAAAAGTTGAGTCATTTTCTTATTGAGTTTTGAGAGTTCTTTATAGATTATGGATACAAGTCCTTTATTAGCTATATAATTTGCAAATATTTTCTCACATTCTGTGGCTTATCTTTTTATTCCCTTGGTAGAGTCTTTTGAAGAGCAGAAGTGTTTAATTTGGGGGCACCTGGGTGGCTCAATCGTTAAGCGTCTGCCTTCAGCTTGGGTCATGATCTCAGGGTCCTGGGATCAAGCCCTGCATCAGGCTCCCTGCTCAGCGGGGAGCCTGCTTCTCCCTCTCCCACTCCCTCTGCTTGTGTTCCCTCTCTCGCTGTCTCTCTCTCTCTGTCAAATAAATAAATAAAATCTTAAAAAAAAAAAAGAAGTGTTTAATTTGGGTGAAGTGCAATTTATCAAATTTTTCATTTATATCTACATAAACATTTATAAGCAGATTTATTGAGATGCAATTCATAAATCATACTGCAGTCAGGGCACCTGGGTGTCTCAGTCAGTTAGGTGTCCAATTCTTGATTTTGGCTCAGGTCATGATCTTGGGGCCATGAGATTGAGCCCTGCATGGGGCTCTGCACTCAGTGGGGAGTCTGCTTGAGATCTCTCTCCCTTTTCCCTTTGCCCCGCCCACCATGCTCTCACATGCATGCATGCACTCTCTCTCTCAAATAAATAAATCTTTAAAAAATAAAAATAAATCATATAATTCGCTCATTAAAAATGTACAATTCAATTGCTTTAGTGTATTCACAGATTTCACCACAATCAATTTTTTTCTTTTTTTTTATTCTTATGTTAATCCCCTATATTACATCATTAGTTCTAGATGAAGTGTTCCATGATTCATTGTTTGTGCATAACACCCAGTGCTCCATGCAGAATGTGCCCTCCTCAATACCCACCACCAGGCTAACCCATCCTCCCACCCCCCTCCCCTCTAGAACCCTCAGTTTGTTTTTCAGAGTCCATCGTCTCTCATGGTTCATCCACCCCTCCGATTTCCCCCGCTTCATTCTTCCCCTCCCGCTACCTTCTTCTTCTTCTTTTTTTTTTCTTAACATATATTGCATTATTTGTTTCAGAGGTACAGATCTGAGATTCAACAGTCTTGCACAATTCACAGCGCTTACCAGAGCACATACCCTCCCCAGTGTCTATCACCCAGTCACCCCATCCCTCCCACCCCACCCCCCACTCCAACAACACTCAGTTTCCTGCGATTAAGAATTCCTCATATCAGTGAGATCATATGATACATGTCTTTCTCTGTTTGACTTATTTCGCTCAACATAATACCCTCCAGTTCCATCCACGTCGTTGCAAATGGCAAGATCTCATTCCTTTTGATGGCTGCATAATATTCCATTGTATATATATACCACATCTTCTTTATCCATTCATCTGTCAATGGACATCTTGGCTCTTTCCACAGTTTGGCTATTGTGGACATTGCTGCTATAAACATCGGGGTGCACGTACTCCTTCAGATCCCTACTTTTGTATCTTTGTCACCACAATCAATTTTAGAACATTTTCATCCTCCCAGAGAAAACCTGCACCCTTTAACCATCAATCTCCTACTCTGCCCTTCCCACCTCCAGCCCTGGGCAACACTAGTCTGCTTTCTGTCTCTATGGATTTGCCTACTGTGGACATTCCATATAAATAGAACACACAACATGTGAGCCTTTGCAACTGGCTTCTTTCACTTAGCATCATGTTTTCCAGGTTCATCCATGTTGTGGCGGGTACCAATATACATTCCTTTTTATTCCCAAATAATACTCTCCTGTATGGATATGCCACATTTTACTTATCCACTGTCAGTTGATGAACATCTGGGTCATTTCTACCCTTTGGCTATTACACATAATGCTGCTGTGAACATTTGTGTACAAGTTTTTATATGGACACATGTTTTAATTTCTCTTGGGTTATATGCCCAGGAGTGAAATTGCTGGATCATAAACTGCCAGCCTGTTTTCCAAAGTGGCTGCACCATTTTACATCCCCACCAGCTGCATACAGGGTTACAATTTCTCTACCTCCTCACCAACACTTGCAATTGTCTGTTTGATAATTGCTGTCTTGGTGGCTACAAAACAGTATCTCATGGTGGTTTTTATTTGCATCTCCCTGATGATGTTGACTATTTTTTCATGTGCTTGTTGGCCACTTGTATATCTTTTTTGGAGAACTGTCTGTTCAGATTCTTTATCATTTTAAAATCGGGTCATCTGAATTGTTATTACTGAAGTGTAATTGTTGTTTACATAGTCTAGAGACAAGTCTCTTATCAGATACATGATTGGCAAAGATGTTCTTCAGTTCTGTGGATCATCTTTCCACTTTCTTGATGGAATCCTCTAAACCACATCTATTTGATGATGTCAAGTTTCCTTATTTTTTTTTTCTTTTGTTGATTGTACTTTTTTGTGTCATAGCTAAGAAACCATTGCCTAGTCCAAGGTCAGGAAGATTTATACCTATGCCTTCTCCTAAGAGTTTTATAGTTTAGCTCTTGTATTTAGGTCCTTGATCAGTTTGAATTATTTTTTGTATATGATGTGAGGTAGGGATCCAGCTTCATTCTTTTGTAGGTGGATATCCAGCATCATGTATTAAAAAGACTAGTCTTTCTTCATTGAGTTATCTTGACATGCATTAGCATTTGTATTATATTTTCTTTATCATATCTCTGTCAAACTTTCCATTGCTCTAACCATTTCGAAGTGGTGAGTTGCAGACACCACAATACTTTCTCCTAACACTTCAGCATGCATCTCATCAACTACAGTTCAATTTTTGTCTACAGTCTTTTTTCTTTTTGATGTAAAATTTGCATATAGTGAAGTGCACAGATCATAAGTGTACCATTTGATGAGTTTTGACAAATGCATTCACCTGTGCAATGCAAATCCTTTATCAAGATATAGAACATCAACACCACCTGAGAAAGTTCCCTCACATACATGTATTTTTATGTATTTGTTTTTGACAAATGCATGTGCCCATGTAACCACCACCCCAATCAAGATATAGAAAATTTCCATCTCTTGAGAAAGTTCTCTTTCACTTTTTTGCAGTTAATCTTGCCCCCACCCAGTCCACATCCCAGGCAGCCACTGATGTCATTTATACCACTATAAATTAGTTTCACCTACTATAGAATTTTAAAGGAATGAAATCATATGATGTGAACTATTTTGTGATCAGCTTATTTCACCCCTGACCAACATTTTATTTTTTTTTTAAAGATTTTCCTTATTTATTTGACAGAGAGATAGAGAGAAAGAGCACAAGTAGGCAGAGAGGCAGGCAGAGGGAGAGGGAGAAGCAGGCTCTCCGCTGAGCAGGGAGCCTGATGCGGGGCTTGACCCCAGGGCCCCGGGATCATGACCTGAGCCGAAGGCAGCTGCTTAACCAACTGAGCCGGCCAGGCGCCCCCTGACCAACATTTTAAAACAAATATCAGAATGAATGTCATGTTGCAGAGTGAAATATTGTTTTGCTGACCTTTGCTTTAGATACACACACACACACGCATGTGTATGTGTATATGATTGTACAGGGCCAAAATAGGAAATGAAGTTCTTCCTGTGGCTTATAATAAAAAACTTTAAAAGCTACTGTTCTCCTGGATCAGAACCTTGTTTCTTTTCTACCTGTCTTTGTTACTCTCCCTGCCCCCTCACCTTCCCTGATCTCATATCAATTACCCCAGCGATTGGTCTCACCTTCATACCTTTGCAAATTTTGTTCCTTCCCTTGGGTCACTCTCCCCACCTCATCCCACTCACCCCAAACTGGAGAACTCCTATTCATCCAGTAGTTGCCCACTTGGTTGGCCCTTCTCTAGAAAATTTTCTCTGTTTGCATGCCTTCCTCTTACAACTGGCATGTTGTACCCTAATTACCTGGTGACTCTTTCCTTCAGCTGACCACAAATTCCCTGGGGTTCAGGGACCATGTCTCATTCACCTTTGCAGTCCTTAGCTCCTAGGATGTGATGATACATAGCAGGTATCAATAAATGTTCATTGAATGAATGAATGAATAAACCCCGGGGTTTGGGGTGACAGAGTTTTAAATAAACCAGCCTGATTCTTTCCCAAGAATCTTCCCATTCCTGCTTATTTTATTGTCCTGTGTATCTCTGATTTCTTAACCATCATGTTTTTATAACCTCCTTCAACCTCCCTGAGGCCTTAGCCTTTCTGTCTTCCTCTCTACATACCCAACGCTAATCCTTTCATCATTGTTACTTCCTCCCAGATGTTCTGAGGCAACAATGCCCTTTCCGAGGATGACGTCCTATCCTTATCTTTGTGGCCTTTGCCCCAGAACCCTCCCCCATCTTGCCGAAATTATATTAATTTCTTGACTGGGGACGTGTCTGGAGGTGTGTATGGTGTGTGCACCCATGCATGTGGAGAAATGTTCACCAAAATGTCACCACAGGCTACCTCTGAGATTTCAGGTGATTTTCACTTAAATTTTTTAAGCTTTTCTATATGGCTCCAACTTTCTAATTGAGAATTGCATCAATTACCTACAGCTATAGGGAAGCTGCCAAAAGCCCTTCATGGCCTGCGACAGAAGCATTTATTGCTCATGTTGCAATGGTTGGCCAGGCAGCTCGGCTGATCTTGGCTGGGCTCTTTCATGTCTGGGCATAGGCTGGCTGTTGGATGATCTAGACTGACCTCGGCTTGGCAGTTGAGACAACTCTGCTCCACATTATCTCTTACCCTGTGGGTGGCCCCATGAGGCATCCTCATGGCAGTGGTGGAAATGCAAATAAGTCCAATCATGGAAGCAAATGTCAAGCTTCTGCTTCCCATCACACCTGCTAAAATCCCACTGGCCACAACAAGTCATGTGGTAGAACTCAGAATCCAAGTTAGAGGCACCAATAAGTTACACGGCAGGGGGATACAGGGAGGGTTAAAGAGAGGCCATCATTGCCATCTCCTGCAACACATGTTCTGTCTTTATATTCAGAAGTAGTAAAGCTGGTTTCAAGCAAGATGGCTGCCAGAGCTCCAGCCCCACATCTTCCAAGTGGAACAGGTGAGACACCTGTGGAAAGGACAGAAGAATCTCAGGGTCTCATTGGCTCAGTAAGTCACATGCCCATCTCTTACCAAATCACTAAGAGTAAGGGACCACAGTGTTCTGATTGGCCACTCCTGAGTCACCTGCTCACTCCTGAGCCAGGGTAGAGTCAATTCTCTCTAATTTATATGGACTGAGATCCAGCGAGGGTGGTTCATCGGAGAAATACCGAGGATGCTACAGGAGGTGTCTGACTTAGGTTAGGTTGCCCCACAAGTCCCTCAGATGAGGACTGGAGCACAGTTTACATGTGAAGCGATCCCAGAAAGCACTGGGAGGGAGTGGGGCAGTGAATGTGGAGGGAACGGAGCCAGGGCAGTACCGCTGATGAGCAGGTTAATGCTGGGAGACCAGAGCTCCATCTCCCTGGAGCCTCTGAGAGACTGCAGAACATGCCTTTAAGTTGTCCCTGCCACATGCTCTGAGAAGCAAGGAAACTGAGCAACTCACCTGCCAATTCCAATCACTGTTGGCTAAGACCTGCCCTGTGAGCGCTAACTCTCTGACACTTCTGCTTGCCCTCTTCACAGGCTAAGCTGTCTCCTGAGGCCAGAGAACGTCCTTGGGCAGAGTTGCTGGTGCTTGCAGCCAGAAGGTGGACTGGTGAGTGCTAGGGGATATAGGTGGGGCATCGACAGCATCTACTACGGTGGGAAAAACAGGTCACAGGTTAGGACATTGGCTCATTTTGGTCTGGGTCCTGCCCTCAAGGCAAGGAAGCCAGAGAGGAAATATGGCAGAGTGGTTAAAGGCACAGGCTGTGGAGTAGAGGAGATATAAGGTATGGTCCACTTTCCCCACTTGATAGCTGTGTGACCTTGGGCAAGTTACTTAACCTCTCTGGGCCTCAATTTCCTCATCTATAAAATGGGAATATACAAGGTTGTTTGAAGATTGAGACAACTGATTACATGGAACTGGGCACATGGTAAATTTCTAAGAAATGAGAGCTACAGGGCTGAGTCCAGTGGAGGAATGACATTTCCAGAAGTATCTCTGAGTGTCCTGAGACAAGGAGAAGGTACAAGAACCAGCTAGAGGTAAGCTGAGTTAAAGACATGGATGGCACTAAAGGACCAGCGGAGGATGTCACCAAGGTCAAGAAGCATTGATTGTGCCAGGGTCTGTGAGAAGACCCAAGAAGAAAGTCTGGAACCAGGAGGCCACTCCTTTTAGGAAATATACTCTAGGAATGCAGTGCACACATTGTCCCTTGTTTAAAGGATCTGGTGCTCTACTGCCTTCTTCTTACAAAACAGCCAGAAGGGAGGAGCGGGGTGCCACACTGTTGACAGCTTTGCCATGGTGCATTCCTACATTCTTCCACTGGAGTCTAACCAGTACCAAGATTTCCTCGCCACAAGTTGAGCACCCAGTAGAACACTGCAACAGTTAACATCGAAAATCCAACAGACTGGCTTGAGAAAATAACCAAAATGTGGGTGAGGTAAGATTTTGCTGGCTTCAGACCGGGCTGGATCCAGGAGCTCAGACAGTGACATTGGGACCTAATTTCACTCTCTGTTTCTCCACCCCATGACTCCCCACTGTGGGTTTCCACGTATAGAAAGGACCTCTCCTGGTGGTTATAAGATGGCACCCAACAGCAATGAAATTAAAATCCACACCTTCCACACTCACATCCAGGGCAAAAGGGTATTAGTGCTCTTGTCCCAACAGCCCACCAAAGCCTTGAAGTTCACCCTGATTGGACACTAGCTGAAGGCGCTCAGGTCACATGCCTGCCCTCGACCAAGCTTTGTGGCCTTCAGGTACACTGAATGATGTAGGTCTGGATCACACACTCCCATCCTAGGCTGGGTGTGGAGCCCCGTGCATGTATATGGATGGAAAGTTGAGGATGGGTAGATCCCCCGAGGCAAAGCACGCTGTTGCCTCACAATAAGGGGACAAGTGTGTGTGGGATACAAGCCATTCATGTCCACTACAAACATATCCATAGTTCCTATATCTTTGGCCAACTAGCTGAAGAAGCAGAGCCATGCCACTGACAGGTCTGGGAACACAGAACACCTCACAGAAAAGCACCCAATGTAGAGTCCCATTGCGCCAAACACCCATTTCCATGTCCCTTCCCTGTCTGGGACTTCAGCCCCTCCCCGGCTACTTCCTGCCAGGCCATCATGGTTAACTCAGTGAGCCTCTCCTGGTCTCAGCCCCCTCAACCACCCCACGGTTCATGCATTCATGCCTTCATTCACTCACCGGGCCCTCTGTGGCTGCCTGGGATACAAGACAGTTATACACAGCTGTATCCCAGTACCTAGCATTGTGCCTGGCACATATTAGGTGCTCATTCAATATTGGTTCAAGGAATAAATGGACAAGACAAAGTCATCACCTCCACATGCTCACCATCTCATAGAGAAAACAAACGAAATCATAACACGCCCTCTATCTGGGGCTGGAGAATTCTCCACCGAGGAGGCATCAGGCCTTTAAGGAAGAGGATGCTTTCCCAGCCTGAGGAAACAAGGAAGCACACAGCTAGGCCAGGAACTGCATAGACTGGTGCAGAGCTGGTGGGGAAGAAAGTCATATTATGAATCACTTATGAGGGACTGGAAATTTTATATTCGCCTTTACACTCTTGGAAAGGATTAGCATTTATCCACAATGAAATAGGAGGACGCTGCCCCTTGCTCTCCCCTCTGCTGGGCCCTGGGTCTCACTTGGATTATTGTGACAGCCCGCTGTATCTTCCTCAGGTTCACCATCCACACAGCTGCCAGAGAGAGAGGTTATTCTAAAGACTTATTTATTTATTTATTTTTGTGAGAGAGAGAGAGAGAGAGAGAGCACAAGCCGGGGGAGGGGCTGAGGGAGAAGCAGGCTCACTGAGCAAGGAGCCCGATGTGGGACTCGATCCCGGGACCCCAGAATCATGATCTCAGCCGAAGGCAGACACTTAACCAACTGAGCCACCCAGGCGCCCAAGAGAGGTTATTCTAAAAGCCAAATCTGGGCCTCTCATGCCTTGGTTTGGAACTCACTGATGCTCCATATCACCCGAGGCTGGTGTTGAAGACCTTTGGTAATAGGGCCCAAGCTGCATTGCTTACCCCACCCCAGCTCCCCAGAGTGTACCTATAGGCCTCCAACCCTTGCTCACACTGCCCTTTGTGACTCAGAAGCCCGTCTTCCCTTCCACCTCCATCAGAATGCTCCTCTGCCTTCAACTGCAGCTCTCTCCTCTTCAGAGATGCCCTCAGGAACTCTTTCAGGGTTCCACCCCAAACACGTCCTTGGTACATCCCATGCTTTCTGTTTGCATGCTTTTCTTCCTGACCACAGTCTGATTTGTCCACTATTTCTTGAGTCATCATTGCTATGAGCTATAAATCAACCTTGGGGGAAGAGAAATAGGAATAAGGCTGGGAACCCACCCTTCAGGGAGCCCACCATCGGGCAGGAGGATCTTCTGAGACCCGTGGTGAAATCACTTTCTCTCAGTCAGAAGCCTGTTTCCTTTAACCTGCTGGTTCTAAAGTGGGGCCATTTTACTCGGGGGGGGGGGGGCATTTGGGGACATTATGATTGTCATGACTGCGAGGATGTTTCTGGAATCCAGTGAGTAGAGGCCAAGGATGCTGCTAAACATCCTACAATGCACAAGGCAGCCTCCCACGGCAAGGGATTATCCAGCTCAAAATGTCAGTAGTGCTGAGATTGAGAAATTCCGGTTTAACCCTTAAGCAATGGGGAGCTACAGAGGGATTCTTTTTTTTTTTTTTTAATATTTTATTTATTTATTTGACAGAGAGAGACACAGCAACAGAGGAAACACAAGCAGGGGGAGTGGGAGAGGGAGAAGCAGGCTTCCCACGGAGCAGGGAGCCCGATGCGGGGCTCGATCCCAGGACCCTGAGATCATGACCTGAGCCGAAGGCAGACACTTAACGACTGAGCCACCCAGGCGCCCCCTACAGAGGGATTCTTAACCGAGAGAGAGAGATTCAACTTTGTGAACTCCAACAGTTGAGTCAGTGGTGGCCTGAAGGAAGACAGCCTGAGATCAGGGTAATTCAGGACTTTTTCCCTTTCCCCCAGGAAATCAGTGAGGTAAGTAAGCAGGAGTCTATTGTTCTTCAGCCAGAAACACTAAGCCTCATGTACATTCCTTCCAGATGGTAAACCATACCCATTGCAAAAAGCAAAGTGAGCATGTAATGTCTATCAGGTTCCTGGGAGAAGTTTCTCTCTTCTGAGAAAGTGCATGGTGGTTCAGCACTCACCACCCACTTACAGGATCTGAGCAAGTTACTTACCCTCTCTGTGCCTATTTTCTGATCTGTAAAGAGGAGCTAATAATAGCACCTAACTCCTAGAATTTTTGCAATTAGCATATTAGCCTACAACAGGGTCTGGCACACAGTGCCACACTACTTATACAAGTGTTAGTTCTTAGCACCATCTTGTCATTAGCACCAGCACCATCATCATCAACATCCCACACCCATCAGCATCAGCATCACCATCATCACCATCACCATCATCACCATCAGCATCACCATCACCATCATCACCATCACCATCATCACCATCACCACCATCACCATCACCATCATCACCATCACCATCATCATGATCACCATCACCATCATCACCATCATCATCACCATCATCACCATCATAATCACCATCACCATCATCACCATCATCACCATCACCATCATCACCATCATCATCATCATCACCATCATCACCATCATCACCATCACCACCATCACCATCACCATCACCATCATCATCGTTCTTTCTCTAAACAGTCTCCTGTTTATGGAGACTGCCTTACCTGGGGCATGATTGGATATCATTCTGCCCCAAGGGTGGTAGCAGAAAGGATCTACTCTTAGCCTCTCTGACACAGTCTCCTGACTTTGACCACAGAGCTTGGCTCAGGGTTGTTGGCTATCCCTCTGTCTTCACCTGCCAAAACCAAGGGAGCCACACCAGCTTGGAGGTTTCAGATGGCTCTAACTCTTGAGATAATCCCACTGGGTCTGTTCTGTTAAACTGCAACAGAACAAAACCAACCCCCCCCCACACACACACACAAAACCAAGCAACAGAAGCATAAACAAAGGTTCAAGTCTCTCCTATTAAATGGAGTCTGGAGGCTGGCCACAGCTGGTGTGATTCAGCTGCTCAAAGATGTCAGGAAAATATCTCTCACCTTACAAGAATTCCAGATACTGGCTGTTGCTGGAGCCCAGTTGTTCACAGATGTCAGTGCTCCCACAGTGCAGTTGCCTTGGCCTTCTCTCATGGAGGCAAGATGTTCTGTGGTCACAGCTGGAAGACCATGTCTATCAGGAATGCTAACATTTTCCCAGAGGCTCCCCCCCACCACCCACAGACTTCCATTTGTATTTCACTGGCAGAACTGGGTCACTCACCCAGGACAAAGGAGGCTGAGAAAGCTGGAATAGGATTGCCATGATTGACCCAAGCAAATCATGATCCATTGCCTCAAGAAGGGTACCTCACTGCCTCCAGATAAAGTCTGGGTTCTGTTGGCAAGGAAGAATGTGGGGGGTGAGTACCATGGTTATACAGCAATTCAAGCTACTATGGCTGCATAACAAACTATCCCCAAACTTAGTGGTATTTATTTTGCCCATGAATCTGTAATCTGGCAGGGCTCGGTGGCAACAGCTTGTCTCTGCTCTACTTGGTGACAGGTTAAACAACATCAACATTTATTTTGCTCATGATTTTGCAATTTTGTTGGAGTTAAGTGAGCTCTGTTCCCCTTGGTGTCTGTTCTCCTTGGTGTCAGCCAGGATGACTCTGGAGCTGCAGGCTGGGATGACTCTGGAGCTGACCATCTAATAACTCACTCACTCACATCTGGACCTGAGCTGGAAAGGTCCAAACAGCTGGGGCTCCTTGGGCTTGTCTCTACATCTCTGTGTGGACTCTCCATGTGCTCACTCCAGCGTAGCTGGACTTTCCCACATGTCAGCTCAGGGATCCCAAGGTGTGAGTTGAGAGAAAGTTGGGGGGAGAGAGAGAAAGGGATGGAGGGAGGGGGAGTGGGAGAGAGAGAGAGAATACCAACTGAAGCTGTTTCTCCTTGTTAAACCTAACCTTAGTAGTCACTGCATCACTTCTACCAGATCTTATTCATTAGAAGAGACCCACTGAGGGCAGGTCATCATGTAGGAAAAGGGACTTAGGACTCATTCTTTTGGTGGGAGGATAAATAATTGGTCAGGTTTTAATGCCACATCTACCTACCAATGACAGAGACCTAAAAATAAAACAGACCGTAAAGCATTGTGTTGGATGGAGAATTAAGAGGACAGCTGACAAATTCTTTGAAATGCTTTTTTCTCTTCAGATCCTAAAACTTATACATCATGCTGCTTTTAGAAGAATCGGGGTGGGTTTTGCTCAGAAAAGGAAGGCATTCTTCATTTTAGAGGCAGAGCAACCCTGTTGCAATTCCCTCCTTCCCGTGTCCCAACAGCTTTGCCATCTCCTGACTCCCAACCTCCAGTACAAGCAGCTCTTTGCCTGAGGGCTTTTCTCCTGGTTGCTGGAGCCTGCTCCCCTTCCCGGTCCCTGTCCCACTTCCACCCCAGCAGCTCTGAGCCATTGGCTGAGAGGAGTAGGTGTATAAATACCCCAGCTCTCTCCCCCTTAGTGAGATGACTTTCTGGTGCATGTTCTACACTGTCTCCCAGAGTTCTGCAGCAGAGCTGAGCCTTAGTTGACCACAGAGATTGCCTGCTCGGTGATGCAAACTGTGTTCATGCCTTCCCTTCCCAGTCATACTTCCCATACCTCTCTTGGTTTTCCTGGGACCATTGACCAGGTAAGCTGCTTGGGTTAGAATCCTAATCTCAGAGTCTGCTTCTGGGGAAAACAAACTTAGACAACTAGGTTTAAAACTTGGGAGACAGGACTTGGAGTCTCAGCTCCAACATGGAAAGAGCTTGGAAGTCATCAGTGCCATCCTCACAGCAAGAGAAAAGCTGAACGAAGTGAAGATCCGAGGACTTTTCCTAGACCCTTCAGGGGAGGGAGGTCTCAGGGCACGCTGCCACCCTGAAATCTGGGGAGAGAAGTTGAACACAGAATTTCACAGCTAAGATCAACTTACTGGATGCAGAAACCACTACGGCTAATAATTTGTAGTAACACTTAAGTGATACTTTTGATAAATTGTGGGAGATGAAAACTGGGGAGCCAGTCTTAGGGGCCTATACTTTATAGATTGTACCTCAGGGAGCCTACCACATTCTCCCAGTTAATATCAGAGGGAAAAAAAATCCCTTCATGTTTTGGGGTAAGGAGCAGGAGGGAAGTAACTATTCTGACATGCACAGAGCATTCTCCATAACAAAGGCCTGCCCTCTAAGGGAGGCTACTTTACCAGAGCCACTTGGGAGCTGAGGTGGACTCCAGCTCCATCTAACCTTCCTGTCTCTGGAAAGGCAAGAAAAAAAAAGTCTAGGAAATGCTTCTGAAGGTCAAAGACCAGGAACTCAGGCCCACTAGAAAACCGAGATTTAATTATATTATTATAGACAGCTTCTCCTCTCCAACACCTGCCCGCCACATCAACAGAGCTCCCGTATAATAACAGTGGAACACAACTGAGACAACTGAAGGACAATAAATATATAAAATAAATAAAAGACAATAAATAGGGCGCCTGGGTGGCTCAGTCGTTAAGCGTCTGCCTTCGGCTCAGGTCATGATCTCAGGGTCCTGGGATCGAGTCCCGCATCGGGCTCCCTGCTCCTTGGGAGCCTGCTTCTCCCTCTGCCTCTCTCTCTCTCTGTCTCTAATGAATAAATAAATAAAATCTTTAAAAATAAATAAATAAATAAATAAATAAATAAATAAATAAATAAATAAAAGACATTTTATTTAAGAAGGAATTCTTAGGAAAACCCAAAGACCACAGAGGGTTAAAAAAAAAAAGTAAACTAGAGAAAACTAAAGCCTCTGGCATCTACAGCTACTGCAAATTATTAAACACAGCCCATCTCCTACACAGATTAACATAAAACTTCACACTGGCAGCCCAATTATCTTGGTTCCTATTATGCAACATATCATGCCTGGCTTTCAACAAAAATTTACAAGATATGCTAAAAGGCAAGAAAAAACACAGCCTGAAAAGATAAAGCAACCATAGGAACTAGATTCAGATATGATACAGATTTGAGACTTACCAGAAAGGAAGGCAATTGAAAGTAACTACGAATTAGTATGTTAAAGGACCTAATGGAAAAAGTAGACACCACGCAAGCAGAGAAATTGACACTCTAAGAAAGAATCAGAAAGGAATGTTAGGAAAAAACACACTATAACGGATATGTGTAACACCCTTGGTGGGCCCATGAGTTGACTGGACACAGCCTGGTGAGCTTGAGGGTATGTCAATAGAAATTTCCCACACTGGCATGTAGAGAGAAAAAGGAATGAAGCCAAGCAAGATAACTATCAAAGGATCTGTATCTAGGCATATCATATTTAAACTGCAGAAAACCAAAGGCAAAGAAAAAATCTTAAAAGGAGCAAGTAAGGGGAAAAAAATCCTTATCTATAAAGAAACAGACATCTTGTCAAAACCAGGCAAGCAAGAAGAGAGTGGAGTGAAAAATTTTAAGTATTGAAGGAAAAGACCACCAACCTGGAATTCAGCATCCAGTGAAATTACCCCTCAAAAATGAAGGAAAAGTAACGACTTTCTCAAACAAACAGAAACCAAGGAAATTTGTTGCCAATAGATGTGCCTTCCAAGAAATGTTAAAAGAAGTTCTTTGGAGAGGAAGCAAATGTTGTCAGAACCTCAGATCTACATAAAGAAGAGTGTCAGAGAAGAGATAAACTAAGGAAAATTAAAAATTAAATTGTAAAAAAATCTTAATTGACCTAATAGATAACTATTCAAAGTAACAACAGTATTGGGTGATTATAGCATACGGATAAGTGAAATGAATGGCAGCAATGTTATAGAGGATGGGAGGAAGGAATTGAGAAAACTTCGTTATAAGGTACCTGCACTACTTGTAACACAATATAGCGTTGTTTGAAAGTGAATTTAGAGGGGTGCCTGAGTGGCTCAGTTGGTTAAATGTCTGCCTTCAGCTCAGGTCATGATCCCAGGGTCCTGGGATCGAGCCCCGCATCGGGCTCCCTGCACAGCGGAGAGCCTGCTTCTCCCTCTCCCTCTGCCTGCCACTCTGACTATCTGTGTGCTCTCTCTATCTCTCTGTCAAATAAATAAGTAAAATCTTTTAAAAAAAAGAAAGTGAATTTAGATTAAGTTGTAAATACATATTGCAAATTCTATGACAAGCATTAAACTTTTTAAAAAAAGAAGTATAATTGATATGCTAAAGGAGGAGAGAAAATTTAATCATACAAGATGCTCAGTGAAGACCAGAGAAAGCAGAAAAGAGAATGTTTTTTTTAAAAAAAAAAAATAAGTGCAATGAATATGAAACAGTTAACCAATATGGTAGATAGTAGTCCTAACAGTATCAATTACATTGATAATCACTTCAAATGTGGATGCTCTAAATACATCAACTAAAATACAGAGACTCTCAGAGTGGATTAAAAAGCAAGACCCAACTGCATTTTGTCTACAAGCAACCCATTTCAAATGTATACATGTACTTAAATGAATACTAATGGGATAAAGAAAGATATACCATGCTAACATTCATCAAAAGAAAGCTGTAGCCATATTAACTTCAGACAAGGCAGACTTCAGAACAAGGAATATTAGCAGGGATAAAAGAGGATATTATATAACGATAAAAGGGTCTGTTCTCCAAGACGACCTAACAATCCTTAATGTTATGCATCTAATTACTGAGTGTCAAAATACATACAAAATGCATCTAACAACCGAGTGTCAAAATATATAAGGCAAAAACTAATCAATCTGCAAGGAGAAATAGACAAATCCCCTATTATTTGGGTAATAATAATTATTGGATACTAATAATATTGGAAGTGGGAGACTTCAACACCTCTTCAGTAACTGACAGATCCATGAAGCAAAAATCAATAAGTATATGGCTAAACCAAACAACGCTATCAATCAACTGGATCTAACTGACATTCACAGAACACTTCACATGGAACATTCACCAAGACAGACCACATTCTGGACCATAAAACAAACTTCAACAAATTTAAAAGATTAGAAATCATATAGAGTATATACTTAGTCTACAACAGAAATAAACTAGAAATCAAAAATAGAAAGAGGTCAGGGCAACTGGGTGGCTCAGTTGGTTAAGCATCTAACTCTTGATTTCGGCTTAGGTCATGATCTCAGAGTCATGAGATCGAGATCGAGCCCCTTGTCGGGCTCCACGCTGGGCATAGAGCCTGCTTAGGATTCTTTCTCTCCTTCTCCCTCTGCCCCTCCCCTCCTTAAAAAAATAGAAAGAGAGCTGGAAAATCCCAAAATATTTGGAGAATAAAAAGCACACTTCTAAATAACACATAGAATAAGAAGAAATCACAGGGGAATTTTAACATGTATTTTTAAATAAACAAAATAAAAACATAACTTATCAAAATTTGTGAGGTATGGGAAAAGAAGTGCTTAGAGGAAAATCTATAGCATTGAATGCAGATATTAGAAATGAAGAGAACTCTAAAATCAGTAACCTAAGAGACGGCAAAGAAACATGTAAAAAGATGTTCAACATAATATGTCCTTTAGGGAATTACAAATTAAAATAACATTGATACACACCATTACACACCTACCAGACTAGCTAAGAACTAAGATCCAAAAATACTGACGACACCAAGTTCTGGCAAGAAAGCAAACAAGCAGGAACTCTGGTTGGTTGCTGGGGGTGGGGAGGTGTGCAAACGGGTATAGACTTTGGAAGAGTGTTTGAAAGTTTTTTATGAAACAAAGTGTTCTCTGACCATATGATCCAGCAATTGCATTCCTCAGTATTTACCCAAAGGAGTTGAAAACATCCCCAAGCAAAACTTGCTTATAGCTGAAAGCAATTGAGGGGTCCTGGAATGGGTGAATGAATAAACGGCGGTATATCCAGATGATGGAATTCAGCACTAAAAAAAAGCGATCAACAACAAAAGGACACGGAGAAATCCTAAAATAATATTGCTAAGTGAAAGAAACCAGTCTTAAGAGGCTATATGCAGGCTTCGTCCACCTGTATAACATTCTGAAAAAGGGAAAACCGTAGGGACAGTAAACAGATTGATGGCTTCCAGGGTTCACATTGCTATATTGGTGGATACAAATCATTATGCATGTGTGCGCTCTCTCGAGCTCATTTATTTTGAGATAGAGAGCACACGTGCATGCAAGCGAGGAGGTGGGGGAGAGAGGCGAGAGGGAAAGCAGACTCCATGCCAAGTGGGGAGCCCGACTCGGCGCTCCATCTCACGACCCTGAGATCATGACCTGAGCCGAAATCAAGAGCCAGATGCTTCACCGACTGAGCCACCCAGGCATCTCTAGCTTACTTTATTCTAAAAATACAGTATATAATACATATGATATGCAAAATATGGGCTAATCAACTGTTTATGTTGATTACACATAACGGTAAGCTTCCCATCAACAGTAGGCTATTAGTAGTTAGGTATTTGGGGAGTCAAAAGTTATACGTGGATTTTCCACTGCCCGGGGGTTGGCGTCCCTGACCCCCCCCCCCCGTGGTGTTCAAGGATCAACTGTGTATGAGTTTGAGTCCCTGTGTGTGAGTGTGAATGTGTGGTGCTGTGAGTATGCATCAGTGTGAACACGTGGAGTGTGTGGATGAGTGTAAGTCAATGCCAACATATGGGTGAATGAGTGTGCGTGGATGAGTATGAATGTGTGCAGGGGTGTGTGTGTGTGGATGAGTGAGTCCATGACTGTGAACGTGTTTGGGGAATGTGAGTGAGTGGTTGCAAGGATGGGCCTGAATGTGTGTGCAAGCTTTTCCAGGCAGGATCAAACATTCCTCAGTGAAGGCAATGCCTACAGTTGCCCCAGTTGCTCTTCGTGGAATTCATGTGAAATGCAGAATCCCCATCTGACCTGTTAGAATTCGCAGCTTGTCTGGCCAAGCTTCCTGTCCTTGATGAGCCTCTCTGCCTGTCTGCCTGGGCTGCCCGCCTCCAGTTCTCATTACACCCAACTGCTTGTGGTTCTTACTTGTCAGGGCCCGAGCCAGACCCCCAGGGCTAGGAAAGTGGGAGATGGGTCTGTATTTCTCACTCTCCCCACCCCCCAGCTCAGGGCCTGGCACATGGAGTCATCAGTACATAGATGCTGAATAATTGTAGTCTTTCTCGCCTCCAGGTATTTGCTCACCCTGTCCCCTCTGCCTGAATGCCTTTCCCTTTTCTCCCTCTCTCTCCCGCACTGACCTGTGGAGGGACCATCAGAGGCCACCTCCTCCAGGAAGCCATCCTTGACTCCCAGACTGTCTACAGTCTACTGACACATACTTGAGTTATAAGGTCAGAGAGCAAGGATCATGTTTATTTTGTATCTTCATATCTGTGTCCTCAGCACTTGTCATAGGGTTAGGCAGCAGGGCCAAGAAAGAGTGAGTGCATAAAGAATAATGAAAGAGAATGGAAGTACTGTGTCCCCTCCTCCAGGAAGCCAACCCTTACTTCCTGCTTCCCCGGCTCACCCCCCCAACCACAGCAACCCCATTGGGCTGTCCTTCGCTCTGAGGAGCTTGCCTCTACTCTACCACCAGGAGCTCTTTGAGGCTAAGATGGGGTCCAATTACTCTTTGGGTCCCCAGCACTACGAAGCCTGAGTCTGCCCATCTCTTACTTCACCTCCTCCCATTCTCCCCTCCTCAAGGCTCTCCAGCCAAGCTAGCCTTCAGACAATTCCTCCAACATGCCACCCCAGGGCTTTGCACATGCTATTTTCCCTCCCTAAACTAGTCTTCCCCTACATTCTCTCAAATATCAGTTCAAATAACTCCTCATCAGGGAAACCTTTCAAGCACCCTCTCTGTTTTACTTTTTTATTGGGACCTCTTGTTACCTGAAATACTTTATTCCTCGGTGTTCTTCCCCACCGTCTGGCTCCCCTGGGGCTTTTTTGGTGTCCAGTGGTTAGTGGTCTATGGCGCCTGGGTTCAAATCCCACACCTGCTGAGTAATTCTCAGCAAGTTGCTCCTCTGTGCCTCAGTTTCCCCATCTGTAAGAAAATGAGTGATAGTAATATAGCGTCTTATAAGGTTGTTGTGAGGATCAAATGAGTTACTACATGCAGAGCCTCAGAGCAGAGCCTGCCAGATTGTACTAGCTATTATTGATAGAAGGGTTGTTTCACTATCTAAATTCTCGCGGCACCCAGCATATGGTAGGCGCTCAGTCAACATTAGAAGGAAAAACACCCACGGGCACTTAGCAGATGCCAGAAGCCAGGCTGTTGGGACGCGGAGAAGGAAGAGAGCGGCCCAACAGCCCCCCTCCGCCCCCGCCCCGCCCCGCCTCAGCCCCAGATGCACCTGCCCCTCGGCAAAGCGCGTCTGGGGGCCTGGGGCCGCCGGAGAGGCCCCCGCAGGAGCTGGGACTTTATTCCGCGAGCCAGGGGAGAGCACTGCGGAGTTCTCCGCGGGGGCTGCCGCGCGCCCAGGGGGGCGGGTCGGGGGGGCCCGGGCCGCCCGCTGCGAGGTAGGCGGCCGGCCGCAGAGGGCGCCGGGGAGGGCGGCGGGACCGCGGGGCGGGGCCTGCGGCGGGCTGGAGGCGGGGCGGGGCGCAGGAAGCCGGGGCGGGCCGGCTGGCGCGCTCCGGAAAGCCCCGCGCGGCGCGGGCAGGACGGGCGGCCCGGGGGTCCCCCACTTCCCGCTTGGGCGCGGGCGCGGCGAATGGGCCCGGGGCGCGCAGGTAGGACGCGGGGCCCGCGCGCGGGGCGGAAGCGGGGCATCGGCCCGGGGAGGGGCGCTGCCGCCGGCGGGGGCGGCAGCGGGGACCCCCGGGGCCGCCTCGACCCCATTGGGGGCCGCCCGGAGCCCGCCCCTCCCCGCGTCTGGAGCGGCGGCCGGCTAGGCCCGGGTGGTCGGAGGCCGGGGTGGGGGCTGGGGGGGCAGCGGGCGCGCGGAGCCGGGGACCCCCGGCGCGCCCCCTCAGACTCGCGCTGACCGGGAGACGCCAGGGGAGACGGCCCCTCGGGGACTCGAGGACGTCGCGAGCGTGGGGTCAGGCGGGGCTCGGGCCGAGCAGCCCCCTGGTCCCGGCGATCACCCCCTGCCCCGAGCGCAGGAAGTGGGTGAGGACCAGCGGTCGGGGGGAGGGGGAGTTCTGGAAACTGAACTTGGTGATCCGGTGGAGGCGTCTGGGGAACCCGGGTCCCGTGGACCCTTTCTCTCCTTATTTGAATCTTGGGTAGACCCAATTATAATAGGGATCGAATATTTACTGGACTCATTTTGTACAGGTTCTGTCGGGAACTTTGAAAGTATTCTGAGTTAAATCGCTAAACAACCGTTTTGGTCAGTGCGATGTGTGGATCATCCCGTTTTTCAGATGAGGACGCTGAGGCCCCGGACAGTTTAGCTAGTTTGCCACAGATGAGTCCTGCCTGCGAAGTGTGTGGCAGGATTCCAAGCCGGCGGTCTGACGCCAGAGCCTGCTGTCTTCCACCTGTCCACGGTATTTGTCAAACTATCCCATAAACAAATTATCCAGGGGATTTTATTAAAAGGCAGATTCCTAGGCTGCCTTCAGTGAGGTTCAGATTCAGTAAATCCAGGAATCTGGATTTTAAAACACACATACACACACACAATTTGGATTTCTTAGATCAGGCAAGACTGAGGACCAGGCAAACTCAGTGTCCCTGCTGTTGGGATTTGCCTAGGGCTCCTGGGCCAGCCCTGATCCTGCTGGAGTCCTAGCCCTTCACTGTTCTCCCCCAGCCCTCTGTGAGGTTCCACCCCTGTAGCTCCTCCCCTAAGGGTGGCCTTTTAGAAGCTTGGGTATTTCCTGGGACATCAGTGCCTTTATTAAAATCCTGAAGTCCCATGGGGAGCCTGAGGGGGAGGTATACTTTTGTCCACAGTCAGGGCATTCAGGGTCCTGCAAAGGCCCCTCAAACAGCGTGGCTACAGGTGAGGATGCTGGCGTGTTGGGACGTGGTCCCACCCCACTGACCCCACTTCCTGGCCTGGCTTGTCCCTGGCTCTGGGCGCACAGATCTGTCTAAACACGCATGTGAGGGGAAGAGAGCTTGGCCCCCCTGGGTTTGGTGGAACATTTCCTAAAAGGGAAGGACTGTCATTCTGAGCAGTGGGTTTATAAAGGGACTGACTGCGCTCCCAGAAGTAACAGGTACACACGTGTCTTCGGGCTGACACTCACTCACAAACATGTTAGGGGCAGGGGACACAGCAGTGACACAGAAGCAAGGGCCCTCGTGGAGCTGACAGTCTAGGGAGGGAGGTGACTTTTGAGCTAATTGCTCCAGTGGTGCTGGGGAGGGGGGGGGAAGCCAGACATGGATGGGAAGGTGGGTCTGGCCACCTTGTGGAAGGCCTTGAATGCCGTGCTGAGGAGCATGGCCTGGTGCACTTCACCTTTGCCTGAGTCCCCCAAAAATCACAATGCAGATTCCTGGGCTCCACGGGGGAACTCCAGAGCCAAATCTGGAGGGAGGCCATGGGAAAGGAGCAAGGAGGGAAAGCGGCTAGTAAGTCAGTCACCCTTGGTTACCACACACCCAGTTACCAGCAGGTCTGGGATGACCTGAGGATTTCCAGATTCTGGGCAGTGACTCAGTAACTGATGTGTCTTATACAGCACGATCCCAGAGGTGCAGAAATATCAGGCGGGGGCAGGGAGGTGGTCCCCTGAGGCAGTCAGTTTCCTGCTGCTCTGATTTAGAAACGGAGCTGAAATGCAAGTGAGGGCAGAGCCTGTCCTGGACCCCTCCTCTCCCTACGTCCCTACCCCTCTACCCCCAGGACGGAGGAGAGAGTTTGGGGTCAAGTGGCCCACTGCCCTCAGCTGCCTTTGATGGTACCTGGGAGCCAGGCAGGGACAGAAGCCACCCCGCCGTGCCCCCCCCCCCCAGGTGCTTCACATTTGTCAAGTTGGACTTTCATGAGGGTTGAGGACATCATGTCTTTTAAGATACTTGACACAATTTCCAATGCGTAGTACGTTGCAACAAATGTTCATGACTCTTTTTGCCCATTAAGAAGTACCGCTTGGAGGTTAAGAGCATGGACTCTGGAGCCAGATTGCCCAGGTTCAAACGCTGGGTTTACAATTGACTGATTTCTCAGGACCTCAGTCTCCCCATTTATGAAATGATGGTGACTACTTTATACCACCATGGTGATGATTAAATGAACGAATAACTGTCAAGCGTCCAGACAGTGCCTGGCATGGAATGAGCACTATGTGTTTGTTAAGTAAATAGATGAACTCCATTGGATGGGATTTAATCTACCCATTTTTGCCAGGGAGGAAACAGACCCAGGGATGTGTGCAGTGGCCTTGGCATCTGGGAGTGACAGGGAGGGATTTGAATCTGTTTTTCTTTCCAGCCTGCGTTCCTTCCCATTGTGCCAGTTTGCTCGCGTTAGCAGGAGGGACATCTTTCTGAGCATTCCTCATGGCCAGAGACCTGGCCGGTCACTTCTGGCCACAATTCCCCTGGCTAGGCTAGAAGAGAGGCCAGTGGCTTGCCTGCACATCGTATGAACTTGCCCTTGCAAGAGCGTGGGCCAGAAGCCCAGTGGAGACTGAAGGGTCTTGCAGTGGCCAGGGCATCCCGCATCAGACAGGTTGTGTCCCTGATGTGTGACTTCCAGGAAATCACTGCTTCTCTGAGCCCAAGGCGGAGAGAAGAGCCCAGGCTTGCAGACCCTAGGGGGGGGTGCAGTGGGGGAGGGCCCTGGGTTCAAATTTAAACCTTGCTATTTCCTATCTGTGTGATCTTGAGCAAGTTGCTGATCCTCTCTAATCCTCAGTTTGCTTGTCACTAAAATGGGTATTTTGGAGGGGGATTGTTCATGAGATAATTTTCTTTTTTTTTTTTTAAAGATATTTATTTATTTATTTATTTATTTAACAGAGATAGCGTAAGTAGGCAGAGAGGCAGACAGAGGGAGAGGGAGAAGCAGGCTCTCCGCCGAGCAGAGAGCCCGATGCGGGGCTCGATCCCAGGACACTGGGAGCATGACCTGAGCCGAAGGCAGTCGTTTAACCAACTGAGCCACCCAGGTGCCCCATGAGATAATTTTCGTAGGCACCTTGCCCACGGCTCAGCGATTGCTGTTTCTCTTCTTCTTAGGACAATTACTTCTCCATACCTAGACCCTGGCTTGCTCATTCATTTCTTCGACTATTTATCAAGCACCTGTATGTTCCAAGAGTTCCCGATAGAGCAGTGGACAAAGTCTTTGCTTTCCTGGAGTTTCAATTCTAGTTGAGAAGACAGGCAATATGCAAGCAAACAAATATAGGCAGATGTACCCACCCCCCTTATTTCTAATGCTGAAATCTGCAGGCTCTGGAAACCGAAAGTTTTTCCATGACCTGATGGGAAGCAAGACCTGAGCTGAACTAATCACGAGGCACTTCGGTGTGTTTGTTTATCATCCCTGACTCGAATGCTTGTGTGTCTCGCTGCCCAGGAATTAATGTGAGCGATCCAGGGAGTGCTAGACCCATGGCCAGGGCGGGGCGGTGTGGGGAGGGCTGGGGGACAGGGTGGTTATGTCAGGTGGGATTTTATACCGGATGACCTTTCTATAATTTGAGTTACTGTGAATTCTGAGACCTGCCCGGCCCTCCCAGACTTCACACAGGAGAACAGGGACCTGCATATTCCGTCAGGACCAGGAGGAAAAGTGAAGCAGGGGGAGGGTGGACTAAGGGGGGGAGCCTCTGTGAGGAGGGACATTTAGGAAGTTGCAGGGCAGAGGCCTGGGGAAGAACGGGCCAGGTGGAGGGAACCACAGGGAACGTCTTGTCCACCCCACTGACCCCACTTCCTAGCCTGGCTTGTCCCTGGCTCTGGGCGCACAGATCTGTCTAAACACGCATGTCTTTGCCTTCCCAACAAGTGGCCGTGCCTCTGGGAGATTTCAGGTTTGGTTCCGACTGACTCATTCTCACCCTAGGGGCCCACGTGGCATTCTTGAGGTTGCTTTAGAGATCCACGGGCTTCGCTCGAGCAGGCCTGGGCGCCGACTCACTGGAGAGGATCACCAGCTGGGCTGGCATCTGAGTCCCCCTCTCCCGCCCCCCCTGCCGCCACCGCCTCCTCCCTGCCACAGGGAGAGAGGGAGGAAGTGGGTCCATGTGAGGGGAAGAGAGCTTGGCCCCCCTGGGTTTGGTGGAACATTTCCTAAAAGGGAAGGACTGTCATTCTGAGCAGCGGGTTTATAAAGGGACTGACTGCGCTCCTAAAAGTAACAGGTACACACGTGTCTTCGGGCTGACACTCACTCAGCAAACATGTTAGGGGCAGGGGACACAGCAGTGACACAGAAGCAAGGGCCTTCATGGAGCTGACAGTCTAGGGAGGGAGGGACTTTTGAGCTAAGACCCGAGGTAAAAGGACATGTGGATTTCCAAGAGAGTGATTCCGGCAGAGGGAGCAGCAGTGCAAAGGCCCTGGGGTGGGAAGAAGCTTGGTGTGTCTGACCCCCAAGGAAACTGCTGGGGTTGGATGGAATTGAGCA